GCTCATCTGCCGTCCGGAATCCCCGAATCTCCCAAGCTGAGAGCCATCGAGATCGTGCAACAATTCACAGGATGGATGCTTTTACTCAATCGTTAATCAAATGCAACAAGATTTTTCATTCGGAATGGAGGCGCGATTCGCTCGGTTAGAGACTTTAATTGTGAGTACTTGTGCATTGGATAAACTTATTGATTTGTTGGAAAATGTTTTATATGGAGAAATTGATCTAGACGACGGAGTGTGTGGAGTTTATGATCATGTGGATGAACTTATAAAGACGCTCCGGTCGTTTCGTCAAACTACTGGTCAGCCAAATTATGACGCCAACTTGTACACATTTGATGTCGAAATCTCTTGCTCCATACAAGATTTGGTTCGTGGTCCCCCAATTTTTCCAAGTTTGATTCCATGGGAGTTACAAAACTTTAGAACAAACATGTTGGGCGCTATAAAAGTTCTCATTGACACTCCGCCATATGCGCCAAATGTGGTCTCTACAGTAATTGAACAAAACGCTGAAGCAATAAACAAAGATGACGGGAGCTCCCACGTTGTGGACAAAAATGAAGGTCCACTTGCAGCATATGTTGCTAATGTCGACAAGCCAGATCCTACTTTTCAGGAATTTTCTATCTCAGCTAGTGTGGTCATTGCAGAATATGATATTCCAAAAAGTGTTGACAAAGTGACCGATGCAGATGGTAAACAAGCACACTCACCTATGTTGATTGATACCATCAAGTTGTTTGAGCTTGTCAATGTGGTCAAGATGGAGCACCTGATTCCACCAAGAGCAACTACATATGTTCTGCGCCCCGTCTCATCTTTCCATCACTTTGCTCCAAGATCCACGATGGTTGAAGATTCAAAGAGTGGATTGTTCCTCTGGTTCAGCATTCTTTCTCCGTTCCTAAAGCACGAGTGGGAGCCTCCACCTTGAGGACAAGGTGGATTTTAAGGGGGTGGGAATGATAGGGATAGTTAATTAGAATATTTTAATTAGTTATATTATTATTTAATAGTTATTTATTATTATTATTTATTAATATTCTATGGATTAGGGTTTTTTGTATGGGCCCGAGCCCATTAGGTCATGTAGGGCAACGTCTCATCGTTATATATTGTAATCCCGTATCATTATCATTCAATCAATCAATAATCAAGAATTCTCTTAATCTCTCGTCTCTCTTTTCTTGGAGCTCGAAAACACTCGAAGTTTTCCATCTTTCTCTACCTCATATTCTTGGAGCTTGAAGAACGCTCGAAGTTCTTCCCTATCCGATACGATATTCGTATCATTCACCCCCTTCTTCTTCTTCACCAAATTTTTCAAAAAGAAGAGTAAATTCCATAATTGATCCTTTATAACGGGGGGTTTCCATATTTAGTCATTTATTATCAAATATTACCCTCGTAGTCTTTTTTTAAGATTACCTTTCCACAAATGGTCCTTTTTGATCTTCTGTCGTGTTGGTGTTAATTTAAAGGCTAAAAGTATAATTTGACATCAACATAATGTCTAGTGACGTGTTCTGATATTGGTTAAACGGATAACACAAAAATAATGACTATGATTGTGGGCTAAAATTCTGACGAAAGATCACATTTGTAGACTATCGTTGTCGTAAAAAGCGACTGTAATTCCAAACGACGCAAACGGAACAGCCTTTGAAGTTGTGTATGACAAAAAAGATATATTATCATTGTGAAATTACACTTTTAGCCCTCAAATTAACACCAACATGATAGAAGATCAAAAAAAGGACTATTTGTGAAAAGGTACCCATAAAAGAAGGACCACTGGGGTAATATTTGATAATAGAGAACTAAATAGGGAAACCCTGATACGAATATCGTATCGGATAGGGAAGAACTTCGAGCGTTCTTCAAGCTCCAAGAAGATGAGGTAGAGAAAGATGGAAAACTTCGAGCGTTTCCGGGCTCCAAGAGAATAGAGAAGGAGATTAGGGTTTTGATATTTCTTTTTTGATTCCTTGAATAAAAGGATTACATCGCTATTTATAGGAGATAGAGAAACCCTAATGCTAACGGTATTTGACCTAATGGGCTCGGGCCCATACTAAAACCTTCAACAACATTAACTATTGAATATTAAATAACTACTAATTAATAAATAATATAACTAATCTATTATCATATCATTCTCGCCCCCTTAAAAACCACCTTGTCCTCAAGGTGGGGGTTCCCATTCAAGCTTTTGGACATGTGAGAACGTGCTGAACCAGAAAAGATGTCTAGTTGTAGACCAATCTTCAAGAAGCTTCTCAGATGAAGTATAGCGGTAGAAAGAAGATGGATGGCCAAACTTGCATTGAACTATTTTCTTTGAACCTAAGTGCTCAGACTTGACAATACCAACAATGTCGAGCAACGCGATGGTGTCCAACGAAATTGGGTTATCGGCGTAGATACAATCTTCATCTGTCACCTTGTCCACACCTTCTAAAAGTGCAAACTCTTTATTTTTCCCCACGATGTTGGACCCCTCGTCCTCTGCATTTATGAGTTCAGGTCCACTGTCCATGTTATCCCCAACATATGATTCTACGCTTGAATCATCCTTTGACTCCTTTTCATGAGACTAAGTGTTTGGTATGGTGACCATATGAGCCAAATTGGGTGGAGAAAGCGGGGCATTGATAAGGTTTCGGATGGCATTCATCATTTTTGTTCTGAAATTTTGTAACTCCAAAGGAAACAAAATCGGCAAAATTGAAGGAAATATAACTAATCTATTATCATATCAGTGAAAGAAGAAGAAAAATAAAGGAGTGGGAGGGGGAAGAAGAAGAAAAAAAATAGGGTCAAATTGAAAATTTTAAAATATACTCCATTCGTTCCGGAAAACATGGGAGTTTTGATTTTGAAGAGGGATTTAAGGAGAGTGTATTTTGGTATTGAATTTCCAAAAATTTCCTTTGATGTGATGGGTAAAAGTATGACTTGATGGATAGATTATTTGTAAAAAGGTATGATGTGATAGATAGGGTATAAAAAAGTAAGGGGTAAAAATGACTTTTTAATAGAAATGAGAATTGTTTATTGGGACAGATGAAAAAAGAAAGGAGAAAGGTTTTCAGAGCGGAGGGAGTATAAAATTCGAATTTGGCCCAAATGACCGGAATTTAACCTGGAAACGGGTAAATGGACTTTTAGTGAAAGGATTATGTAAGTTCAGGTACTTTTGTAAAAGGATTTAGAATTCAGGTACCACTTCGAAATTCTAGTGAAAGTTCAGGTACCATTACTGAAATTTACCCTTGATTAGCTTAAAGGGGGGACATTTCTTTTTATAGTTGTAGAGAAATCTTAATTCTAGTTAACTATGTGGTCTACTCTGACGTTTCAAGAAAAACGGTGAGATAAAGAACCGTACAAGAATCCTCGAAGGAGTTTATAATTTCGTTCTTCTAAAAAAACATTGTTACATACACAATAACAAGAAGGATAATTTATTTAATTATATAATCCTCATGGCCCGCAGGGGCCTTCCAAACTCGGCGGCCCCTCGTAACGTTTGTCCTCAACTCGTCTTTGACTCGTGCATGTTCCTCCTGGGTCTGAACCTCCCTCTTCTTGACATCCATTTATAGTGTATCACTCCCTCCCACTTGAGAAAAGTCCTTGTCCTCAAGGTGTAAGTCGAGATAGGGATAGTGACGCTTAATCACCTTGTGGCTTATAGGTTGCGTCATCCATTGTGCCATCCGACCATTCCCCTAGATATTGCTAAACGAGCTTCCCCGTCGTAGAATTTGTCTGCTGGGCCCGACTTGGGCCGACCACCCGTCTTATTTTTATTCTGTCTTTGTTTCTTGGGGAACAACCTTCGTAGCCCTAGGTTTCTTCCTATAGATACGCATCTTGTACTTGTAATTAATTCAAGAGTAAATTCCCAAAATGGTCTTTTGTAATAAAGTGTTTTCCCAAATGAGTCCTCAATAAATTTTAATTACCTAAGTGGTCCTCTATAATTGAGATTTATTCCCAAAATGGTCTTTCATAAATAATGTTACTCAAATGAGAATTAATTGAGGATATTTTGTTATTTTTTATACGCTAAATTTAAAATTATTATTTAAATTGATCATTTATAATGAATTGCTTTCCCAAAATGATTTTTTTCTAATTAAAGATGTGTATTTGATTTGAAATTTAAAAGATTTTTATACATTTTAAATAATTCATTAATTATTTATAGTCAATGTATTTTTTCAATTTTACATTTAATTGTATAGAAATAACTGTTTTGATAAATTACTTTTAATTTGGAGGATCAAAATCCCAAAATATCTCTCAATTAATCATCATTTGAATAACATTATTTACAAAAGACTATCTTGGGAATAAATTTCAATTATAGAGGACCATGTAGATAATTAAAACTTATTGAGGACTAAATTGGGAAAACACCTTATTACAAAGGACCATTTTGAGAATTTACTCTTAATTCAAGGGACATGACGAGTGAATAAAATCCTCCTGTTGCAGCTGTGGATTAGAGATACTGAACCACGTTAAATTCTTGTGTGTTGTTTGTGTTCTATTCTCTCTTGATTCCCGCCGATATTTGTGTGTGTTGTGTATTTAATTCCCAACAGATACAAATAAAAAATGAACTTGCATAAACCAATAAGCAGCAACAAGCTAATTAAGTTGTCATAGCGTTAATTATATAGTAGCAGGAAATTAAAGCAGAGTGAAGTATAAAATTAAAGCTTGTAGATAGCAAATGAATTGAAATGACAGAAGTAGTCTACCATTAAAATATAAATATAAATTGTTGATAGATTGATCAAACTCTTGGGTACATGAATAGAATGGTTTCGCAACGAAGCTGGCGTCAAGTTGTTTTAGTGATGAAACACCAGCTCAGGCACGAAACACCTATCATGACTCCTAGCTAGCCCTTTATGGATAATATATAGTTACCAGCTAGTTAGCTCATGCTAGCTAGCTAGTCTAATGAAATGTGCACAAATAACACAAACATGCCTGCACTAGTACTTATTATTACTCATATAATTAAACATATAATTCTCCTCGTCCGCCCCCGGTTCAACGCTTCATAGCAGCAGGAATGGGTGGATGATAGCATCAAGCAAGGTTTCGTCCCCGGTGCTTCTGAACGCCTCAAGCAAAATGTCGTCCCAGATGGGAACCAATGGCGCGTCCCCTGCCTCAAAAACCAAAGGCAAGTCGTTGGTCGAAACCGGTGACGAACCCAAGCTGGTGCTGGTGCAGTTATTCATCATGTCCATTATTCCCATGTGCTCCATCCATGAATTCATGATTGAACTCATCTCTTCTTCTTGTTGCTGTTTCCCACCACGGCCTTGATCGCCCTGCTTGCCCGTGCTTCTTGGTGTGGTGACAACGGTCGAATCCGCAGACGTGTTGTCCTCCCCATCTTTTGGGGGAGTCGTTCTCGCTTTCTTGCCCCCTCTTCGACACCTCTTGTTCAAATGGGTGTTCCAGAAATTCTTCACTTCGTTGTCCGTTCGCCCTGGAAGCCTCCCTGCAATCAGTGACCATCTGCCACCACACCAAAAAAGAAACAAAAAAAAAAACCTCTTCATTCTTCTTTAATTAATTAACCCACACACACAAATAACCAAAAAAATAAAAAACTAACACATATTAATTGAATTCCCATGAATGAATCACTGACCGGTTGCCCAGAAGCTTATGCATCCTGATGATGAGATCCTTCTCGTCATCGGACATCATGCCGCGCTTTATGTTTGGCCTTAGGTAATTTTTCCATCTCAGCCTGCAGCTCTTACCGCTTCTCATCAAACCTGAAACACGTTATAATAATCATGTCATTATATATACATTGTGCAAGAATTGATACAATATGCAGTAATAATGCAAAGGTAAAAATGAGAAAAAAATGAGAAGAAGAAAAAGAATAAAATACCGGAATTGGTAGAGATGGTAGCCCAATTACCCTCGCCATGAGTTTGGACACACTTCTTGAGAACCAAATCCTCTTCAGGAGTCCAAAAGCCCCTCTTCAAAACCGGAAGCTTCACTTGTTCTTCTTCTTCTTCTTTTGGATTATTCATTATTGCAAGCATAAAAGAATCCGGCGGCCACTTTTCAATTGAAGCTCTCTCTCCCTCCACCCACGCACGCACTTTTGTCGTAAAAAACCAGAAAGTGGCCGGTTAAATTAAAAGGAAAAGAAAAAGAAGAAAATGGCGGATGTTTGGAGTTTGAACGGTAGATGATAATTACACATTTTTTAGAGTGAGGTCCCCTCCCTTTGTGTTTATTTATTTATTTATTTATTTTTACTCATCTTCTTTTGCCACTTTTCTGATCTTCAAGTAAAGCTAATTTCTGCTCCACCACTTGTTAACCCCACCGAATCTATCCCCTGCCTCTCTTACTTGGTCCGTCCCTATGTGTTTGTTCACTTTTGACTTTTGGAACTGTTCATTTAAGCACTTTGACTCATCAAATTCTCTCAATGTGTAAGCTTAAAAATAGTCATGTCTGATCTTGTTTGATTCGTCTTAACATATAGATTATTAATATATAATTTTTAGAATTTTTTAATATACAAATTATAAGATAAAATGGATTAAAGAAATGCATTGGATGGTGTGCAAAAATGAAAGTGGAAAAACACCGATGAGTAAATAAATCTCACTATACTACTGTTCGTAGGACCAAGGGAGACACATCAATTCAGTGAACTAAAACCATATCCAACAGTGTAAAATTTCATTTGCTTTAAATCTATTTGTTTAAAATATGTATACAAATGGAAAAGTACAAATTACATATTTAAATTTTAAAATTTAAAAAAAATGTTTTAAAAAAATTTGGGGTGATAATAATATTTTATTTTATCAAATGATCAACGAAAAAATACAAAAATAAAATTATCTAGAGATCAGAATAATAACTCCGATGATGATTCTGGGAGGGGAATTACTAGATGAAGAGAAAATACCATTGTCTTGTGAGTGGCAAACAAGAAGATTAAGGTGCTGTTTGTTTTTTCTGCAGAAAAAGGTCTGCAGTCTGCAGACCACATCTGCACACATCTGCAGAAGAAGAGGTGGACCAAAGGTCTGCAGTCTGCAAGAGGAAGACTGTTCGTTTTTTAACTTCTGCAGATTGTTTAAATAAACTGAAATTTAAAATAAACAGATTTTTAAAGCAATCAATATTTTTAAACATTCAAATTTAAACAAGAGTTCTACAACAATGAAATAACAACAATAGCATTTTTTAAAATAACAATAATAACAATATTTCAAATAATTTATTCCGCACTTTGCATTAAGCGCTCGGTAATTTCATCTCGTAACTTGATCATATATTCACGATCCGCTGCAGTACCGTGTACTTCAACCTCTTCTTCATCAACATCAACGTGCCCACGACGATTTCCTAATGACACGTTTAGTTGATCATATTTTGTAAAGAAGTCATCGCTCAAGCCCTCTTTCCTTATAAAATTATGTAGCGCGAAACATGCAATGGCAATGTTCCTTTGTGTAACCAACGGAAATGGTGCCATCCTCTTCAATATAGGGAATCGGGCTTTCAAAACACCAAAAGCACGCTCAATAACGTTTCGAAGTTTTGCATGTGCATGGTTAAATTTCTCTTTATTGGTCAATGCACGTCTCCGACGAAAATCTCCAAGCCAATACCTCACATTACGATATGGAGCCATAAATCCTCGTGTATGTCCATACGCGGCATCACAAAGATAATACTTATCTGTAAAGAAATATAATCAATTAAGGTATTGAAGTATGATAGACATATTTAAAAAACCATAAACATACCTGGTGGTGGAATCGGGAATGGTGCATGTGGATCTGATAATGCCTCTGACAATATTCTAGCATCATGTGCTACCCCTTCCCAACCAGCCACAATGAACGTAAAAATCATGTTGAAGTCACAAATTGCTAATACATTTTGATAA